GATTGCCTCTGAGACCCAGAGCCAGGTGTGTGAAGAGAGGGAACTTTCTCACACTTGCCCTTGTCACTGTTCTCATGTCATCTCTTTTGCCTAGCGTACATTGGACTGGCAACTGAATATATCTGTCGCCTTTGAGTTGCTGCCCCGCACACATCGACAATCTGGCGAAAACGGGCAACTCCTAGTAGCAGGCCAGTCTGGGGAATAACAGTGCGTACATCGACAGCAACTGGCCTCAACTACAGTGTGTTTTCTGACATAAACTGTAGAGGGCGCACTACACGCAATACACACACGTTGTTGGAGCGCGCCACGGAGCGTGCACATCGGGTGATATCTCTGGATCTGAGGACAACTAGTTGCCAAAAAGTAGAACACGGGCAACTGACTGAATCCGGAGATTGACTGTTTATCTCCAGTTGTAAGAGCGCTCACATCGACCGATTTCGGCATCTGATCATCTCCCATCATCTACTCTCAGTTGCCAAAAGCTGCCTTGCAACTAGTTGTCTCCGTTACTCTGTCGATGTGCGCTAGGCTTTAGACAAACTCACCAAAAATGAGCTCCAGAAGGATGACATCTGAGGAGGCTTTTTCACAGATTTTTAACTGGGACAATGATGTAGAGGAAGAGATTTCAGAAACAGAGGATTTTTCAGATACAGGACAATGTTGTTGCTGATCCAGATTGTCAATTTTCCTACGATAAGGAGGACTCAGAGGATGAATCTTTGGTCAAGGAAGGAGAAAGGGAGGAAGGAAGGAAGGAAGGAAGGAAGGAAGGAAGGAAGAGAAAAGAAGGGAAAAGAGGAGGATGAACAGAGAGAAGGAAAACAGGATGAGAAAAAGGAGGAGAAGGAGGAGAAAGCATGGCAGGAGGAAAGAGGGAGGGAAGAATTGTCCTTTTGACCCGAGAGGAGGACAAGAAGATTATACTAAATAATTCTTAAATATAGCATTGGAATTAAAAATGTATTGTATGTCACTTTTCTAAATATTTATAAAAAGTTGTTATTGGTTTAATCTGTTTTCTTGACTGTTTTGAGTGAATTTACACAGTACGGGTCAAAATGACCCGCAACATAATCAATGTCATTTTTTTTCAACATAATACAAGGGTTAAATGAAACTCGACATTATGCTGTAGGCGTACTGGGTGGATGTACAGTCCATGGTTACAACGTATTTAAACAAGGGAAAAACATTTTTGTACAGAATATGGGTTTAACACAAGGACTCACAGAATTCTGAAACTACTAGAACTCCTTCAGAATTCATTTTGACGGCTCCCATTAAAATCAACAGAATTCTGAAAAAAAAAACAAGTAATTTTCACAACCACATTGGAATACATACGCAAAAGTCCCCAGTGTGCACAAGACAAGTACATAAATAAAACAAGGTTAAAAACAGGAAACAACTGACACTGTGAAATTGATCGACAAAAACATTTTCAATACAAAGGCAAGATCACACAAAAAATAAGTGATTCATAATTTTTTGCATCATTAATACACAAAACTGGGCAATCTGACTGAAATGCAGCAACACTAAATACTCACTGCTGTAGGTGTATTGCTATGGTAACTAGCACTTGCCCTAAAATGAGACTGCTTGCTCTGATCCAGTCCAGGATCAAGATAATTTAACAAACATAATGGCACAAATACATTTCTTATAGATCTAGAAAAACTCATAAAGTTATGAAGACCAAAAAATTACATAAGAGGAGTCATTACACTTCCAATACGAAAAGCCGTCAACATGACTGCTCTGGGAGTTCTGGTGTTAAAGAAAGATAAGACCCAAGACAAACTGAAACAAGAGCTTTTCAGGACACACTCAAACAGGGAAAGCATTTGACAATAGATATAAAATCAATCCTTCCAGCGCACTTTGAGTCACTGTGAATAATGGCTAAAACATCTTCTTCTGGTCCTTTAGTTTTCCACTAAGGTAAAAAAAGGTAGGAAAGTTTCACATTGATTTTGAAAGTGCAGGAAAATTGCTGAAACGTGACTGTCCTGTCCCCGCTTTTGTAGTATTGGTGTTATTTGTGGTGGATCAGTGCTCCATTAGACGTCCTTCTGCATTGACTGTTCTGACAGGCACTCACTGGGACTGCATCACTCTGCTGCCGCCAGACAAAGGGGTGCCAGGTTCTCACTGGGCCTAAAAGCTGAGGAATATTCAGGTGCATAATGTGTTTTTTCTAAATTCTTAATTGGTCATTCTGTTCCTACCTCCTTGTAATGATTTTGCATATTTGGGTGAACTTAAAGGAGACATATCATGCAACACCTGTCTTTTTTGTTGTAATTTTAGTAGGTGCGGCTTATATCCAAGTGAGCCTAATGGTCCAAAACGTATGGTAGTTGGAACATCCATACAACTAATAACATGTTTTTGCAAAATTGTCTTTTATGTAATTTTAGTAGGTGCGGCTTATATAAAAGTGAGTTATATAAAACGTACGGTATTTGGAAGATCCCTAAAACTAATATGTTTTTCTCATCATACTCTGAGATGAAGGTCGTTGATACGTTTTGTCAATACAACTAAAACAAATACAGTTGTAGTTAAAAATAAACAGGAAATGGTTCCAGGGAAGTCTCTAAACATGGATCAATCTGTTGCACCGACATTTCTCAAGTGAAAGTTCCACTAAATGACTTTTATCTGGCATTAAAACTGTGCCTCATGGGGCGACCTTTGCTTTTCTCTGATTTTCAAAGTGCCCACGGGCAGCAGGAGCCGCAGCACAGAGGCCTTGGTAGCAAAAACACTAGAGGATTATGAAAAGAAAGACCAAAAAAAAAACATTAAAAAAACGATAAAGTTGGCTCACAAACACACAATATGGCATTAATTAGAGCTGACTGTGGCGGAGGAGAGTGGGCGAGCGAACAGTAAATGTGTTTAGAAAAGTGTGCAATGGAAAAAAGCCCAAAATGAAGGCTGCTTTTTGAGTTTGACATAAACAACTTCTTAATGAAGTTATGGCTGTGTGAAAGAGTGACATAATGTGATAACAGCACTCAGCGTGATGACTGTTTTCTGCATTTCTCACAGAGGATCTGGAAATACCTTTTGTTCTTCTTTTATTGCACTTGTCAGATACTTTTTTGATGAAAGAAATGCACTTTTGGCCATATTAGAATAGATTCCCGATTCATATATGTCTGTGTATGTTATATTCTTCTGAAGACATTCCCCCGTTTTTATAAGTGTGTGTTTTTAATTATACAGTAGGTACACAGTAGATTGTTTGCTCATATCAGTATCATATGAGTATCATATGAGCCAACTCGAACTAGGCCTCCTGCTGCCTGTGCCCGGAGTCAGAACTAAACATGGGGAAGCAGCATTTCAGATTAATGCAAAATCTGGAAAAGTCTTCCTGAAAATGTGAGACAGGCTTCTTCTCTGAAAATGTCCAAATCCAGGTTAAAAAACCGTTCAGTTTAGCTGTGCATACAACAATATCAAGCTACCATCCAGTGCATTTACAGCTCCTGTTGTTCATGAATACACGGTCACTGTCCAATCCAAATAAACAACTAAATAAATAAAATTAACAAAAACATGTGAGATTAAATCTATATATACACACACAAAACATGCATCATTTAAAACAGCTTGTGCAGTGTCTTTAACAGTTTTCACCAACATACTGTATGACTGGTTAAAGCAGTTTAGACATGGCAATGCATCAAATTAAAAGAAATCCCAATCCATGCGTGGGTTAGACTCATCCTCCGTGTTCTCCTTTTTGGTGATTCCAATCTGGTTACCATATCCCTGTTGCTTTAGTCGCACAAAGATCATGGACGTAGCACTTCAATCCGGGGAGACTAGGCTGACACAGAAAATGCATTAAATGAGTTTATTGATTTTTGTTTGACGCATAGACCCCGGCTCTGAGGGTGGGACAGGGAAGATCATTGCTTGTGCGACGCTTTATGATCCTAATAAAGGTATTTGGTTCATCTGTACCAGGAGAATAGTGCGTTAGCGATGTTATTACCTTGACATGTTTTTACGGTATACTTCAGTCTTCCTCAGAAGCGTAATTTCTACTAAGATGACTATATGAAAGCTTTATGAACCCTCTGGGGTCTAGGCCCTGGTGGTGGCAAAAGGCCGAAGTTGGAATGATCGTGTTAAGCCTGAAGACCAAAGGAGGAGGAGGGGAGCTTGAAGAGGTGTTAGTTGGGGAGTTTCTACTTTTAAACTGACGGTTTGATAGGCATGGGTTGGCAGGGAAGTTGGAAGTGCCATGTGATAGGCTGAGGGTGAAGGAGGCCGGCCTTGGAATTTGGACCATAGACTGTAAATATTAGCCGACGGAGTGAAATGTATGTGTGATCCACAAGCAGCCCATTTCGCAGAAAAAAATTGAAAAAAACACTTTCAGAGAGGAGGCTATATCATGTGCGCATGCGTTAGCAGGAACAAGCCTGACACATGACGTCCATTTAATGTCTGCTGCGGATAAATTAGACTGGTCCAAAAAAAACTACCCTCAGCCTTGACACGCATCTGAAACGTAGCGTTGGGCCAAGAGCTGACTTGTGGACCATCCTGTAAAGCCGTTTTCGAGAGGAAAGAAGGTTCCATTAGAATTAATTGGATAATTTTGTTTCCGGGTACACCCCCACCAACAAGGAGTCAGATTACAATGCTATGCACATGCTCATGGACCCTTTTGGAGTTGGGGCTCGCCTTCACTGGTTAGTTGGCGTTAGTTCTGCTTTTAAACTGATGGTTTGATTGACACGGGTTGGCAGGGAAGTTGGCTATGTGATTGTCTGAGGGTGAAGGAGGCTTTGGATGGGATGGGACTGCCGCAGGTCGTTTTACCAATTTTAATTTTCGCTTTAGCTGCACTGGTGCTGCAAAGGCTCTGCAGCACCAGGCCTATAACATCCCTATTGATATTTAGAACACAGCCTCTGTTTGTGATGAACTAACTTGCAAACTTTTGGGAACTTGCACCATTACGCACACCGCACCATCCATCCAGCGCTAATGCCGAGGTGCTCCTGCTTCAGCCACAAACGGTTTAATTTCCAGATTAGTCTGGGCCTCTTGCAGCGCTCTTTGGGGCTATCTGTGAGCAAAGCCGAGGAGTCGTCTAAAAACAGCTCTGCCTGAAGTGAAAGTGCTGTCTGTGGGAGAATCTTATTATGCACATCCATCCAGAGGCCGAGGGCTGTGACCTGCTGCTGTGCTGCTCATGCTCCACCCGTGCCACCAGTTTGGCTAATGCGCACGTTCATTACTATTCACCACTCTTTGGCCGTGTCATGCATTTATTCATGAAATTTAGGGTTATATATCGGGAGTGTAAATTGAGTCCCAGTGGAAGGAGACATATCATGCACAATCAACTGTTTTAGTTGTTTTCCAAAGTCATTTAGAAACTCAAATTATTATTATTTTTTACTGGGCCTTTGCAAACAAGTCTTTTTGTGGGTTCAGCGGAAACTAGAGAAGGGAATGTTGGTTCTGTGGTTTGTTCACTTCTGTCCTCAAGCTGCTAACATGTACAGATGTTACAGATTCAATGTTATATTTCTTGCACTGTATGCAGTATACAGTATTACCTTATACAGTATGTTGTATCTATTTCTTTGTAATGCTAAAGTTACAGATTGTATACTTGTTTCTGTATTATGCTAATGTAACAGATTTTTACTTGTTTCTTTGCTAAGGTTCGAGATTTTATACTTTTTTCTTTATTATGCAAAGGATTGAAATTCCTTTTTACTTACTTTATGTTGCTAAAGCTAGATATTTTGTACATTTGCTTCTTTATAATGATTAAGTCAGAGATTATACACTTGTATACTTGTTTCTTCATTATGCTAATATTATAGATTTTACACTTGTTTCTTTATTATGCTAATGTTATATATGTTATACAAGTTTCTTTGTTAAGCTTGTGTTATAGATGTAATACTTGAGAAAAAAGATCACATGTTAATTCATTTTATGTGACATTACTTCGAAATTGCTTTGAAAAATATGTTTGAAAATGTTTGTATTGTTCCACATGGACGATGATAAACTCGCGCTTGTCCTAAATAATGCCATTCCCTGGAGTCCTGGGTGCACTGCGCTTGAAAGTCGGAAGTTTGACCTTTTTTATTTCATCCAAGTGGAGCGTTAGAAAGGTTTCCCGACACGATGCCTGTAGCGGTGATGGTGGACTGGTGACGGGAGGGTGCCATGTTCTTGGACTGTCACTCGTGTGTGTTGCCGTGGGTGACAGCGCGGGCCCCTGGGTGACGTTGGGTGAGTGTGAGTGGATGATAAAGTGCTGAGGCTGGCGGCGGCACTTTGGAGGCGTGAACACTGTACACTGGAGCATCACACACTCGGACATGTTCCAGTTTGAAGGACGTTAGAGCGACGAGGCCAGACAGATGCAGACGCAGGGGAGCCTCAGTGCGCACATTCTGCTCTTGTTTTTGCTAATACTGGATCTTAGTTATTTACGTTCTGCACCAGATTATAGATAGATTGCGTGTTTCCATCTGCAGGCCCTGATTACAGAGGAATAAATTACAACATACAACTTGAAAGTGTATCCATCCGTTCTCTGTCAACCACACAACACTCACTCACACTGCAAAAAAGTGATAAGAAATAAGACAAAAATTGCTCAAAATTGGACAAATATATCATAATTTGAGCACATTTTGATTGCCTTTCTCACTTTTCTCCCACTGGGTTTTAGACTTTTTCTCTGTAGATGCAGGAGGGTCTGTTGGACAGTTAGTGGTCTAAGAAAAATAACTTTGGTGATGATCCAGGACACTTTATGGACATTTATAAAAATTCATGGTCATTGGTCAAACTCCCCCTATGGACCAATACATATGTGTATATTTTTTGTGTTTGATTCTCTGACCTGTGTTGGCGATTTCAATTGGTCCTCTGAGATAACAGTTGCGATTTAGGGCTGTACAAGTATAAATTGAATTGAATTGAAGAAATCTCTCACTTGGAATGAGAAAATAAAGCAGTTCTTGAAATAAGAGTAAATGGCTTCGTCCTATTGGAAAATCTTGTCATAGGACAGAATTTTTAAATAATTTTTTGCAGTGCAAAAAATCAACATTTACATATCCTATGGGGCTAACTCTATTCAAAACTTCATTAAAACACATTAGATAAAACACCTCCATCAGCACTGACAGGTTTAGCCGCTCAACAGCCACTTTTTCAACTCATAGATAAAAGTAGTCTATCTTGTTTGATTTTTGAGTTCAGTTGGAAGATTATTAAATTTTTTGATTGGTTTATATGAATGTGTGAATGCAGTATTAGGTTTGTACAGAGTACAAATTGGACCAATAATTGGATCTGATATAATATGTAATTGACACAGATTGCAAAAAAGTATAAAAAGATGACTTAATAAATGCTTATTGAGTGTGTTTTTATCTTAATTTGAGTACATTAGATTTATGTGTTTGTCTCATTGGCAAATCTTGTTTAAAGGCAGTCAAAATGTGCGCAAATTAAGATATATTTAGCCAAATTTGAGAAATTATTTTAATTATTTGTCACCACTTTTTGCAGTGAGAAAGGATGACATCTTATCACCTCTTGAGAGCTGTAAATTCATTCATCGTCCGTTCAATGAATAACAGTTTTGTCTTGAAATATAATCTATTCCTCAAGCCGCATTCTAAACAGCACGGCGGTTGAGTGGGTAGTAATTATGCTTCGCAGTTACTATTTCACAATTCACATAAACATACTCTCTGTATATATCTGTAGGGGCGAAAAACGAGACCGTCTTCATCCACGCTTCTTCTTCTTCTTCCGAGAGGATGCGCCACAGAAAATAATTAGGAGACCTTCCCTTGTGGCATTAATGAATGGGTCAAAAGCAGATTTCCCTGTGGGGACAATCATGTATACCTTAACCTTAACCGAGTAATTAAATACAGATTAGCTACAGATTAGCTAAATGTCTCCAAATTATCTGCGGGTAAAAAATGGAGATCATTACAAGTGCATGCGTAAAACAACACTTTCAAATATTAGTTTTCAGGTTCCTGCACTGGCTTTTTATGGCTCAGAGAATAGATTTTAAAACTTTTCCCTGGACTTTCTCTTCTATTTTAAATTCTTTATGTTGTGCTTGTCGAGTTTTTGTTTGTACTGTTGCCTAACTGTGTGTTGGTATGTTTCTGAAATTTAGCTATTGTGCTAATTCCAGCATTTCAATGTTGACGCTGTTTGCCCACACATTGATTAATATGTACTGTTCTAAATTACATCTGAGACATATCTGAGACATGTTAGTGCCATATGAACTAACTCAGACTCTGAAGAGCACAGGGACTGGCCTCCTGCTGGTGCCCAGAGTCAGGACTAAACATGCGGAGTCTGCATTTCATATTCATGCAGCTAAAATCTGGAATAGTCTTCCTGAAAATGCGAGACCGTTGTTGAAGGATTGTATCTTTACTCTTTTTAATGTAAAGTAATTATTGTTTTAATGCCTTGTGTGATTGCTTCTATCTTGTTTATTCAGCACTTTGAGTATCCTTGTGTATGAACCGTGCTAAACAAATAAACTTGCCTAGCCTATTACACAGCTTGTATTGGAAGTTACATTTCCCACTCACACCAGTCGCTAAAACATTAAATACAGACAGTATTTCAAGGTCTAAAACGCCAATGACCCCAGGCCATGCCAGCACCACCAGTCAGTCCCACCCTGCACTGTGTCTGCTCGTCACATAACTGCGGGACACGAGTAGAGTAGAAGTGACAGCGTGTGTGTGCCCAAGTGTGTGTGTGTGTGTGCGTGTGTGTGTGTCTATGTCTGTGTGCGTGTGCGAGACCAGCCCAACAAATGGAGCAGAAGTAAAGCGAGCGATTGCAAGGACAAACTCAACTCTACTGGAGGAGTATCAGCTGACACGATGGGAAGGGATTGAAGGACATTATGTTATCAGCAAGTCTAACTCTACTCTATTCTTATTCTTGTATAGCCCCAGATCACAACAGCAGTGATCTTTACAAAACTGTTGATTTCACCAACACAGATCAGAGAATCCATCAGTTCAAAAACACATTGGTCCGTAAGGGGCAGACGACCGAAGTCTATAAATGTTGATACATTTCTTGACTTGCTCTGGTCACATTTACAGCCATTTCTTCAATCCAATGTCCCTATGAAAGGCATTACTTCGGTTCTGGTCAAACGAGGGTCTTATGATTGTATATTAAACTTCATGATATATATTTATTGCATTGTATATTAAACTACCTATTATATATTTATTGCACTAGTATATATGTATTTATATATATATTACATACTTGATTATTTATTATGCTAAAGTCAGAGATATTATACTTCATTCTTGCTTCTTCTTTATGCTAAAGTTGGAGATTGTACATTTTCTTCTTCATTATGCTTAGGATAGCAAGAGATTTTTTTCCTGGTTTCATTATTATGCAAGTTATTATCTTATTTTATTATGGCATAGAGTTATTGTTGTGTGCTCCTCATTCCTACTGTTCTGTTACCGATGATGCAACACTGAAACTTCCCCACTGTGGGACAAATAAAAAATCTCTTAATATAGACATGACAAGTCTTCATCAAAAACCACCACCACCACCTCCATCTGTGTGCTCCCCTCACCCCCAGCAGAGAGAGCAGCCCAGGCCCTAATTGAAAACAAAATCATTAAACAAGCCCCACTGGTGTCTCACTTATTAGATTCCCCTGCTGGTGTCACGCCAATTCGATTCCCCCCCTCTTGTTTCGCCTAACTAACTCCAAACTCAGGACTATTGGTTGAGACGAGCCCGATTCATCACGTCGAGGTAAAGGACTCCTTATGCAAGAGAGAGTTAGAATGCCGCTGTAGGAATGGACTCGGCTCCACTGGGAGTATATAAAAAAGACATTCTGAAAAACATGTGTATTTGGACATTTTGAGACTATTTACTTGTGACTTTCCAAGATCCTAGTGTTTTTTAGCGAATATTCAAAACATATAAGCATGGCCAATTAACCAAACAAATAGATACATCGTTATTTTTGGAAAGCGGTGAATAATCTCAAAAATAGTCAAAGCAAAACTGAAAATAACGATGGCAGCAACTGTGATTTAAAGGGGTAATGTGCAACTTTTTGTGTGATACTTTAGCATACGTGACCCAGCAGCTGTATGAAATTAACATAACAATTGTATAGAATCAATTGGTTTCCTTCTCAGGTTCATTCATTCTAGGATCAAATGCTAAATGCTAAAACGTGGCGCCGGAAAAATGACGCCGTGGCAAGAGCTCTGGTGTGTGCCATCTGGTGCACACTGGGGTATTCTTGCACAGTTTTTCCAACGTGGTTTTACTGTAAATGGTAAATAAATTCATGAATCTTGAACAGAAACTTTAACAGCCTTAAAAAAGATATGTTTTTCACGCAGACATTTCAAGTTTTAAAACACTCAGTACAAAAGCAAAGGTTCCATGTTTGAAAGGTTAGATTAAAATAAGGAATATTATTTGTGCATCACCAAGAAGTCACAAAAAGCTGTGTTCATCAAGCTGTTAATTGAAAAATTGCTCATTTTGAAAAAAGCTGAGTGTAAAATGATTCTTTTGTTTCAGAAAGCAATTTCACCAGATTGAAGCCAGAATTCCAGTCAGTCCTTGTCTAAAACTGCCTTTTTACTTTAGCCTTGCTGAGTTAATGTGGGTTATTTTCTTATTATCTTTTTGACAAAAACATGTAAAGACTTGGACCATTTCATTACATTTTCAAACATTTGGAATTACAATATAGATTTGAAATCCACAAATGCAGTGCAGTGGAACTGGGGTGTCAAAGGTTTTTGGTAAGAGGGCCACTTTAGCTCTGCAACAATGTCCAGGAGCCGACAAAACAGAAAACTGTTTTCACTGGTTCTGAGATTTAAAACACTGTATTCCATGTCTATATAAATTCACACTTGACGAAGCTGAAGTTGGCTAAATGACTAATGTTTACCATCTCTCCAGCTACATCAGTGCCATCATTCAGAAGGTTGTGGCACTAAATCAAAAACAAATGTCAGCATAAATCAAAAAAGTCGAGTGGAGGTTCTGAGCTTTACAACCAGGCATAGCATGTATTTGTGGAGCTGAAGATGGCTGGATGACACTGAACGTATGTTGATGATCTACATAAAGTAACACAGATGGCTGCAATGGGCCCGCGGGCCTTAGTTTGGTCGTGCCTGCAGAGGAGAATGGCTCAAACATTATCGAGTCATTCTTAATACAATTTCAGTGGGGAATTTAAAGCATCACAATCAAACACATGTGTTTTAGGCGAGTTTATTTGTATAGCACAGTTCATATACAAGG